CAAAATCTCCAAATTTATATCTCTGATTTAAAAATCCCTGAGTGAGGTAGTGGTGTTATTTCTTGAAGTGTCACCGGCTTCACATTTGCATTGGTCCACGTCCTGCTTCCAAAGACGCAATGAGGCAGGTCCATGCCTTTATTTCAGTTTTTCTCATTAAGAATTCACTCTGCATTTTAGACTTACTGGTAGAAGCCTTGCATTTGGAAATGTTCCTTTATGTACTTCTAGGTTTCCCTGCATTTTAGTGATGTGACAGTGGAGAAAAATGGACTCAGATTTGTGGCTTAAAATTTGCCAGGAATTTAGTAAACATTTCTGAGGACCACTGGCCTCTCTCTGAGTTGATCAAGCCCAGTACAAAACTGAGAAAGCCCATGCGATCATTCTTTTGAACAAGTCACCATTCAGTTGGACTATATAAAAATCAGCCAACATTTATTAAATTTCTAAATGAGACACAAAAATTAATTGGATAAGGTCTCTACCTTTGAAGAGACTATAGTATAGAGGGAGGAAAACAGATAGAAGCAAGGTTAAAAAACTAGATAAAGTGTGGGAACTTGGAGATGCTGTAAAAATGCACTCACTACTTAGCACTGAAAAAGGTTACCAGACAATGTGTCAATAGACTGGGGTCCTGAAAGAGAAATAAGATTCTATCACCATTAGAAAGGCATTTGAAGTAATCTAAATATTGAGAAGAAGACAAAGAAGGATAATAAAGGAACATTTTAAATGTAAATTTGAGACAAAGGTCTTTAGCAACTAATGAAGTGGGTCCTTTTAACTCAGTTTTGATCTGATTGAATCCAAATTGAATCATTCCAACTGAGTATTTTTTAAAAAAAAACAGAATCCTTTTGACTCACCTTTTATTATTTTATGACATCAATATACTCTGTGCCAAAAGGATGAAATGAGGTAAGTTCACAAAGTATTTTCAAACTGAAGGAAGTAATTCTAAGAGAAAGTCAATAACCTCTATCCTACCAATGAATAGAGACAGAATAAATGGTATACTATTTGGAAGTAAAGTTTAAGGGAGCTATTTGAGGGGTTCAGTTCATTTACAATATTCCTTTAGGGCCTAAAAGGTTAGCTTATTCTCAAGTCACCACAGGAAAGCCATAAATGTTTCTGAAAATCAGGAGAGGGGCATGTGAAAAGTCATTCTTATCTACACAAATAAAAATAAAATGGGGCCAAATATGGATAAAATAATGATTTTTAAATTCATCCAACTGAAGATACAGTTCAGAATAGGACTATTTTAGAGAGATTTTCATTTGGTAGTCATTGATTGAGCTCCTTTTATATAAAGACATTCTATTCAAAGTTGTGAAGGATATAAATATGAGAGACATAGCCTCTGACCTCAGAACTGATAAGAAAAGGTGTTTTCACGATATCTCCTGTTTCATCTTCCATATCTCAATCAGAACCAAAAAACTTTCAGCTCCCAAATTACCTTTCCATGCGATCTGAAATTGGGCCCTTCATCCTCTTCACCCCTGAGCCCTGCCTCAATCCCCTACTCCAAGCTCAGCATTTCCTGACAGCTAACTGTGCTCTAGCTTGAAAAGCAGACTCAGAAAGTCATGTGAAGTTCCTCTTTGATAAGTATCTATGGAAGGAAGTCACAGGAAGAGCTCAATTATGAGAATGGGACAGATGTAACAACTCCAGTCCAGGGGTGAAATATGGTCATAAATAAGACAATAGGTATGAAAAAGACCTTATAAGGAAAAGCTGCACCTTAATCTTGGGCTGTCTAGGGTCTCTCTGAACAACCTTCTCTTTGGTGTTCTTCCTATGCTGAAAAAATCTGAGTGCTAGAAGTTCTTTTTCTAGACAATAAGGCTGAAGTTTGAATAAGAAGAGAGACTCAATAAATAAAATACTATTACCTCTGATAAAGCTGATGCCTAAAAATATAGGTCTTTTGATTAATTGTCCTTTCCTTTATATTTCCATTTAGATATTTATGTGTAAAGGTCTTACTTTCTAGAATACTTATATCAAATTTAGACTGTAATTTTTCAGTGTTTACAACTAAAAGTACCTACAGAAATCTAATACCCAGGTCTTCTGAAACTATAGATAATCTAGGTCCATTCCACATGTCTACTCACAAAACTGTGATTTGGAAATAGTCCTTTTATTTACAAAGGAATTTAATTTGTATCCAAAGTAAAAAAAAAAGTATAAGGATGGTTTTGTGCAAATATAAACCATATGTATTTTTACATAATAATTGATATTTCTCAAAACCATGACTAAGAGAATAAATTTTCTTAGTTATCTATCAACAAAGTCAGACGTCTTCAGAGAAATAATGGCCAACAGAGTTATGACATCACAATACATATTTATACATATTTTAAAGTCAGAGTTGTATTGAGTTTTTGCACATTTTCACTTTAACTTAGGTCAATGAGACCTAGTGATCAGAATGCACAACATAATAAATGTCAGCCTGTTACAATTAATTTTATGAGTATAGCATGGGGTCATATTTGATGGTGACCTTCATCTTCCATGATGTTTGTAGCACAGCAGAATCCAGCTGTCACTTGACAGCCATGAGAATGACACAGCTAAGAGGCAGGCATTGTTGCAACATCAGAACCACATCACTATGGTGAAATCCCACTAGATGGGTTCATTACACTAAGTACATAGAGTTAAAAGGGCAAGTTCTACCAAGAAATATACATTAATACATGGTTCTTTAAGAAATTGTGTTAACAGTTTTTACATGAACTACTTATAAATGAAAAACAGATCCTGGAAAATTAATCACACTTTCAGAAGAGCTGCCATGAACCATGGCATTTACAAAAATTCTAATATATTTTATCCCAGAAACATGAAAGACCCATAGTCCCTCAACATTAAAAAAAATTTTCATTTAAATAGGATGGGTGATATCTAAGAATGTTCAGATTCAGAAGACAAAATGCAAAGAAGCTCAGGAGTTTCATTCATGGATTAAAGGAGCATTCCCCAGAAAGGTTACTACCAACACAGACCTCAGATAATTGACAGAAATCTAAGTCTTTATACACATCCCCTAGAGGAGGAAATGGCAAGCCACTCTAGTATTCTTCCCTGGAGAATCCCATGGATAGGGGAGTCTGACAGGCTACAGTCCATGGGTCGCAAAAGAGTCGGACATGACTTAGTGACTAACCCATCACATACAAAGTAATATTAAAACTTATAATAACTAAAAAATTTTCTATCTCTGTAACTTTAACACCAAAAGAAAATGAGCATTCTTAATTCTTAGCCCTGGATAAAATGTACAAATTAATATGTATGAAAATTAAAATGCCAACACTATGTCAAAATTTAGACTGTACTCCCATTGTTGGGTTCCAGTTTTGGAAAATGTTCCCAGTTCAGATGTGGCTTCAGCACTTGCTTACTGGTCCGGTTTCCTCCTTTTTATACTTGCCCATAGGGATTTCCCTAATAATGCCTAGCTGTGCATTTTAAATTACACATTTTATCTAGAACTTCTATGTGTTTTATGAAGAAAAGATTTTTTTGGGTGTCTGGCTCACCATGTTACTGGAAAAATACATTTCCAAACTGCATTCTCTATTCACTCTCAATCCACACTATGTATCAATCAGCACATTCTGAGGTCATGAAATAAATATGCCCATGAAGAATCAAAAAAAAAAAAAATTTAGACTGTAGTGAAGATCTGAGACTTATCTATGCTAACAGCATGAATGTGTAAAATTACTAAAGGTGCCTCTTGGTTTTCATCCCCAAATAATCACTAAATGTTTCCATATTCCTCCTCCTCCAATGATAAAATTGCATTTTTCTTCCTATATTTACCATTATTTAAGTCTCTTGTCATTGTCCATAAGCTCTAAGCTATAATACCACTAACACTGCCAGAGAAATAATGAAGTGAAAGTGAGTCATGGAGCATATTTTGATTTGGCAATACTTCAAAACAGTTCATTTGTTATTTTATGTGTCTCCTAAAATACAGCCTTGCAAATAAGCATTTCAAAAATCTAGAGATTTTTTGGCACATCTTTTTCTTATAACAAGTAGAAAACTAGATGACTATGCCCATTTTAGGAAAGGCCAAGATAGAAACTCCCAGAAAACTAGGACGGTTCATTTAGGGGCTAACCACTTGTGTATCTTATGTGTAATTTTTCCTCAACCATAGAAACAGAACTTAAGAATGTTTGGATTCAAAGAAGTGCAGAATAATTGGAAGTAAATAGTTTGCTGCCACTGATATGAGACCTAATAAATACCAAACTGAAAGATTTATTAAATTAGGGAATAAGCCAACTGAACTGAATTGACAGAAATCTACTTTACATGCAGATTTTCACAAATATATATATATATATTTGATATATATATATCAAGTTAACATAGCAATATTTTCTACTCTCTCAAAATATTTGCATAAAAGAATTCCAAGGAAATGTAAGGGAGGTTGTGTACCTTTAGGTGATTTGAGCTTTTTAAGAGAGGGAGAAAAAGAGCATTTATTCCATACACGCGGATCTCTGTGCGTGTGTGCTCTTACAGACTGACAGACCAGTCCTAACCAGAATGTGTCACCTCAAGGTCTGAAGGCACTGTTCCAGGTCTCAGTAAGAGCTTTTTGGCCGAGTGAAAAGTGAGGTTGGCCCTCAGGAACTATGATCCCATAGGTGTCACATTCTACATAGTGAAATTAGAGAATAATTCTGAAACCATTCTAGGAGGAGAAGAAAAGCTTGAGCTTTAAAAATTAAAGTTGGCTGCATCCAAAAATATGACAGTGCTAAAAGGCTTATTCCCCATTCCTTGACTTTTTTTTTTTTTTCCTTTCTCGCCCCTACCCATTATTTATTGATTTATTTTTTTGGTAGGCTTGCTATTCCTATTTTGTTGCAAGGCTGCATTTTAATTCATCTGATTCTGAACTTTGACAAAGCCCTTTGACATCTGTGTTCATTTGTTCTCAGCTGGTGAATGAACAGCAAGAAAGCAGACCCCTCCTGAGTCCCTCCATCGATGACTTTCTCTGTGAAACCAAATCGGAGGCAATAGCAAGGCCAGTAACGTCCAACACAGCCGGTAATTCTTTCACTTTTAACTTATCCTCAAGTAGTTAATTTTCACAGTAGAAAAATGCACATTTCTTTCCACAATGCACTTTAAGTGGAGAATAATGTTTGCAACCAAATGAAACTTTATTTCAACATAAACCAGTTAATCACTTTTGTTTATATAAGAAACTCCAATGGATATTATCCAACCAATTTTGCTGAACATTAGAGTACAACTATTGGCAATGAATCATTTTTCAGTGCCAATTTTCATATTTACATCGTTGCATCTCAAGTCACATCATATAGGAAATCTTTAAAACAAAAGTGTTTCTTTCAGAGTAAAGTTTTTTCCAGTGCTGAATGGAAATATTTTGAGAAATATGTATTTTTTAGAAATATATATTTTTGAGAAATATACGAGAAAGTCTAGTAAAATAAAAATATAGGCAGCCCTTTCAAGTAGGTTGAAATGACAATTAAAATGTCCTAGAGACCTGGTATATTATTGAGACAATTTCATTTGTTGTCATATAAGTGGGTTATTTGTAAGATGTGACCAATAATTACCTTCTTACGAGAATTTATTTGAACACTCTTCTGGAATTAAATGTATTCAAGCTAAACTATCTGTATAGGGACTAATAAGTAGTCATCCAGTGAGTGAATACAGGATACCAGTGTATCAATCACACCTTCTCCAGCATCCTCTGCACTTAACAATTCTCACTGATGCGAAAACTAAGTCACTTAAGTTCTGTTCACTTTGAGGCCACAATAAATTGGACTCAAAAACTGCTTTTCACCTTCTGGTTCAGTGGCAGCCTTTCTGCCTTGATTTCATTCAATCATCATTCACATTCAAAGGCATGTTGTTCAAGCAAGGATGAAAGAATGATGTCCAGAATCAAAGAAGAAAGGTTATGTTGGATTGCAGGAGAGAATTTAAAGGGGAAAGGAGACGATAATTACAGACTGTCTTGTTTAAAGTTTCATTTCCCCGTCATGTCCTCAGCTGGCTGCTTCCTGGCATAGTTTTATTATACTTTTAAGTAAGGAAGGAAAATCACAGATGAAGGAAATTGTGGTTTTTAAGAAATGCTAAAAATTACAGCAATAAGAGTAACTAAAACAAGGCAGCGGAACTTTATGTGGGGGTGTAGCCTACGGTCTCTGGAGTTAAACTTTGTGATTTCCACCCGAGCTCTGCCACTTAGCAGCTCTCTGTCCTTGGGCAAGTTGCATAACTAAGTCTGTTTCCTCATCTGTCTAATAATAGTAAGATCTATATCTCATAGGTTACTTGGAAAGATTAAATGAAGCAATCTATGCAAGTGCTAACACCGTGTAAGCTCTAACAGATGTTACCATCACTGTGAGATATCAGGTGAAAACAGTACACCAACACTTCCCTTTACAAATGCAGTAACTTTCTTTATATCACACCAAAGCAATCATTTTCTAAATTCAACTATCACTTTGAGTAGTCAAGCAAATAAAATTATACTTGGTATATTTTAGGCAGGACAAGTTCAGATCCTCTCAGATCAGCTTAATCCTCCTTTTGTATGAAACTGGAGCTCACCACCCCAAAACTGAGCTAACCCCCCAAAAAATACAGAGGAGCCTGTGTCTCTAATTGCAAGAAAATCCATGAGAATGGATACACTGAGAAATTCCTGCTGTTCTGGGAAAAAGCTACAAAGCATAATTCTCAGATGTTGATTCCAGTACCCTCTGCCTCTCCCCATGATGAAAGTACTAAGTCGCAAAGGAAGGACTCACCAGAGAGAACAACATAATTTCCACCTCAAAAGCTGCCTTTCACCTTGATTTTTCTGACATATAACAGAGACACCTGTGAGATACTGGAGGAAAAAAATCAAAAGCATGTGTAACCTCTTGCGCTCCCAGTACCTATAGTATCACCTTCTGTATCAGTTTCCTAGGACCGCAATGACAAAATACCACAAAATAAGTGGATTAAACAACAGAGATTTGTTGTCTCACAATTCTAGAGGAAGCGTCAGCAGGACCATGCTCCCTCTGAAGGTACTTGGGAAGGATCTGCTCTAGGCCTCTCTCCTGGCTTCTGGTAGCTCTTTAGTTTGTGGCAGCATAACTCTAATCTTGACATGACATGTGTGTATGTCCTCCCAGTATGCATGTCAGTCTCTGTGTCCAGATTTCCTCTCTTTATTAGTGAAAGTCACCCAGTCATATCCAACTCTTTGTGACCCCATGAACTTTACAGTCCATGGAATTCTCCAGGCCAGAATACTGGAGTAGGTAGCCGTTCCCTTCTCCAGCAGATCTTCCTGACCCAGGAATCGAACCAGGGTTTCCTGCATTGCAGGCAGATCCTTTACCAGCTGAGCTATCAGGGAAGCCCTCTCTTTATTAGGGACCCACCCTCCTCCAATCTGACTCAACTAATTACACCTCCAATGGCCCTATTTCCAAATAAAGTTACATTCTGAGCTACTGGGGGTGAAAACTTCAACATATGAGTTTTGGGGGGACACAATTCAATCCATCACACCCTCCAAAATAAGAGGTTCAGAAATGTGTGTTGAGACTGTAGGTTTTTCATTTCTCAGCCTTAGCACTGAGTGCATCTGGGTCACACAGATTTTTATCCTTAAGGAAGACTGTCATTTGAGAGTATGTTTTTTAATCTTAAAAATATATTTCAAGGCAGAAACCCTATATTTTTGTCAGTCCCTAAGGATTATAGTTCTTTTTTAAATTATTACAAATCTGCAGTGTATATCTCAATATGCAACACAATTCACATTATTATACATTTTTTAAAAAGGAAAAGTTTTAGCATACAAGCACCTTGGAAAGAATTCTAATGTCATATGATAATTTTATAGCTAAAGTTTCTGGGCAAAAGGTACAATTATCACTTTCTGTCCAAATTTTTAATAAATAGTCATTTTAAATGGAACATCATCATTTTATAGAATAGTATGAAATTACATTGCAAAATCAGGACAGACAGTGAACATTGTCTATCACATCCCAAACATTATGTATGTATTTACATTTAACGAATGGATAGTAGACAATCTTGTAGTAAAATATGGGGGAAACCTGCTGCAAGTTGTACTAAGTCAATCAAATAGAACTTTGAAGAACCATATTAAGAAGAAGTGTATTAAGATGAGAGGTTTTATACTTGGCATTTTCTTCCAGTGAAAAAATAAACCCAGTGCGCCACCATCTTGACAACTCCTTAAACATATAAGGAATATAGTTCTTATATAAAATAACACAGAGTAAACACTATAGGAATTACCTCTTCCAAAGGTCAGTCAAATGACAGGTTTTTTTCTCTCTGACTCTAAAAGAACATATTGATCTTCTACCTCATAAAAGTTATAGATAATAATTTTGTTCCTATATATTTCATTTTTGTTTTTACTTTCTGATTGTTTCTGTATTAGGATTAACTTCTGTCATCCAATGGTGATAACTTCAAGTTGATCAAATAAGGACATTTTCTATTCCATTTGGGGGCCATTAACTTCCTCAATTGTCTTTTACTCATTTGTTATCTAGATAGACAGCTAATTCCTTGGCCCTCTCAAACTGTATCCTTAAATGGTAGGTTCAGTTCAGTTCAGTTCAGTCGCTCAGTCATGTCCGACTCTCTGTGACCCCATGGACTGCAACACACCAGGCTTCCCTGTCCATCACCAACTCCTGGAGCTTACTCAAACTCATGTCCATCGCATCGGTGATGCCATCCCACCATCTCATCCTCATCATCCCCTTCTCCTCCCAACTTCAATCTTTCCCAGCATCAGGGTCTTTTCAAATAAGTCAGTTCTTCGCATCAGGTGGCCAAAGTATTGGAGTTTCAGCTTCAGCATCAGTCCTTCCAATGAATATTCAGGACTGATTTCCTGTAGGATGGAATCCAAGGGACTCTTAAGATTCTTCTCCAACACCACAGTTCAAAAGCATCAATTCTTTGGTGCTCAGATTTCTTTATAGTCCAACTCTCACATCCACACATGACCACTGGAAAATCTATAGCTTTGACTAGACAGACCTTTGTTGGTAAAGTAAAATCTCTACTTTTTAATATGCTGTCTAGATTGGTCATAGCTTTTCTACCAAGGAGCAAGCGTCTTTTAATTTCACAGCAGCAGTCACCATCTGCAGTGATTTTGGAGTCCAAGAAAATAAAGTCTCTCACTGTTTCCATTGTTTCCCCATCTATTTGCCATGAAGTGATGGGACCAAATGCTATGATCTTAGTTTTCTGAATGTTGAGCGTTAAGCCAACCTGGGGGCTTCCCTTGTGGCTCAGCTGGTAAATGGTAGGTAGGCCATGGTTACTAATATTCTTGATTTTTAAATGGCAAATAAATACTTATTACATCAATGCATATATCATATGCTCTGAAAGTGACTGGAAAACAGAAATTTTTAAGATGATAATTATATTCTAGGACATGTAATTACTATAAAACTTGAAAATAATTTCTTATCCTGTAATCTCCCAAAAAATCTGATACATGTCAAAGTACAGGAAAAGCTCTTTTCTAAAGAGCAAGAAGAGCAGGGTCCTTTGTTTGCATTTATCAGTCTACATAGCCTGAAAAAATTATCTATAATATTGAGCTATTATATGGACAGTTATATATATTTCTTCTATAAAAGAAATAATTTTCATAGTTTAAAACCTAATATTACTCCTTGGTAAGGAACCTGTATATCTATCAAAGAGTAGATCACTATATATACAGGAAAAAATATCCTTAACAAAGTTCACAATGCCATCACAGCCACCTAATTAAATATCTTAATTGCAAAATTAGTGTAATTTTTCCAAATACATTTCTTTAAACTATTTATTTAATTTGGCTGCACTGGGTTTTAGTTGCGGCATGCAGGATCTAGCTCCCCACACCCCTTGTATTAGGAGCACAGAGTCTTAACCACTGGACTACCAGGGAAGTCTCCCATATACACATATATAAAGCCCAAATAGCTGTGAACCCAATGGCAAGCCTCTTTACAGAACTTAAAAATTTGGTAAGTAGCTTTAATTATGTATTCCAATAAAAAGGCAAGAGTTGGTTGATTATTTAAGTCCAATTTATCTATTTGACATCACTAGCAAAATCCTTCCTAAAGGAGTCTGCTTTGTCAGCATTATGTTAAGTAACCCCATGTTTTCTAAAATGCCAGAGTAACTTACAGATCAGGACAGAAAACCCTTCCGCTCCTTGTGGCACATTCTATGGCTGCCCCAATCAAGGCTGTCCACAGTCTGTGCTCTCTGACCACTCCCTGTAGGGTTATTCCTTCAGAGAAAGTCACTAAAAATCTAGGCTCATTATACAGTAGTGGTGTTAATACCCTTGGACTTCCCATTAAAATATCAAATCAGTGCTTCATAATAGGCGCTATTTTGCCCAAACTGTTCTAAGCAGCCTCACCTCCCAGGGCCCAAGTAATCTTGTATTCATAAACATCTTCAGTGCCCTGTAGGAGCCTTCCAGTTCAATAGGTTGTGATTTTCAATCAAGTGTCCTTGAGATAAATGGAAACAAAACTTGTATAATATATTACATCTTCTAACTTCAGGAAATTCCACCCAATGGAATTAAGTTATCCAACAAAAAAAGTTTTTGAGATTGCCAACTATTTATGCCCTCAGACTACCCAAACTGGCAAATAATTGGTAGCTAAACAAAAACTAATCAAAGCCACATCAATGGAGTCAGCACATTGTCTCCAAGTTCATATAAAGTCTAGAGAGTGGTGAAGAGCATGGGCTTGGGGATGATGGAACTGTGTTTGAATCCTCTATGGACACTGATCTACCAGCTGTATTAGTTTCCTATTGTTGCTGTAACAAATTGCTACAAATTCAGTGGCTTAAAACAATGCAAATTTATTATCCTGTAATTCTGGAAATCAGCTATTCTAAAATCAAGGTATCAGGAGGGCTCTATTCTTTCTGGAGGCTCTAAAGGAGAATTCATTCCCTTGCCTTTTCCAGCTTCTAGATGGTAACTCAAATTCGTTGGCCTGTGGCCCCATATTCCATCTCTGAAGTTAACAGCATAGCATCTTCAAGTCACTTTCTGTTTCCTTCTCTCTCTACCCCCCCACCACCATCTCTTAGTGTCCATCTCTCTTCCTCTCCCTCTCCCTCTGTCTCTCTCCTCCTGTCTCCCTCTCTCCATCACTCTCTCTCTCCCCCCCTCACACACACACACACACACACACACACACACACAAATTTCACTTCCACTATATATCAGGTGATTATTTTAATTTAAACACAAATTCTGGAACACAAACCTTCATGTGCCTAAGAGAATCTTTAAAATCAGATTGAGAAAATCAGTAGAGCAGACACCCCCTTCCATGCCAAGGTATGCTATCTATGAAGCACATATGGCACAGTGACATCTGACACCCTTTATTTTTGTCTTAACTAAAGTGCACACCACACACATACACACACACACTCACATACCCACACGCTAAAATGAGATTTGTCTTTCTTCAGAAAGTGAAAGGCAGTACACATCCTTCTGTGGTTTTGAAATTGTGTTCCTCAGGGACACTCTCAGCTTCAAGCTTTCCATTCAACCTCCACGGCACCCCCTTCATCAACTGAGGAAAAAATAAGGCCTTTTGTGTGTGCCTAGCAGTTGTTTCACATTTGCTGGGGAAAGAACAAAGAAAAAGAGACCTCTGAACAAACACAGGAAGTGCTGAGGACAGCTTGGAGGGGAAAAGAACGTTACTGAGCCAAGTTTGAATTCGCAATTCAGTCTTTGAGTAATTCATTTATTCTGAATGGTGAGAAACAGATATAGAGTTAAATTAATACTCATCAGTTATTATTCTGTAACAAATGTACTTCCTATCTACAAGCAGACAAGTCCTATATAATTTTCTTCTAAAAGAAGTGTAGGAGAAAGTGACTAATTCTTGTTTGTGCAATTAGTAAAAAGGCATATATGGCATTTCAGAGACTGTTATTCACTTCCTTCCTTCTGTTATAAGGAAATCACAGTGGGCCTAGAATCCCCGCCAACATTAACAGTGGCCTAGAATTTTCTATTTAAACATTCAAAAGATATGAAATGTGTGGCAGCCGAGCCTACCCTGGCTGCTTGCCGTGCCTAACTTTCAGACACCGAGCCAGCCAGAACACTCCTCCACGGCTCAGAGCATCTTACTCTGGAAAGAGACTCCTATCTCAGGAAGACTGGAACAAGATAAGCTCACATGAGATGACACTTTCAGGCCATTTTATGATAAATTTACTTCATAGCATCTTCTGTAGAGCCAATAGCCTGTCTCATCTGCCATTTTATTCCCAGGGCTGTTTTCCTGTTTCTGTCAGTGTATGGATATGACTCTTGCCTAAAACAGAGGGGAGTGGGGGAAACAGGAGATAAAGGAAAAGGAAAAAAAAGCATCACAAATTGGCCACCAAAGAATGGAAATAGTATTTATTGAATACCTGCAGTATGCTGGGCTCTTTACACATTTGATTTATAAATTAGATAATGTAATCTTCACATCATATCTAATGTAGAAACTTAATTCTGCACTTTTTTAAGTGAGGACATTGAAACTCAGAGATGTCAATAAGCTTATTCCAAGTCACACAGCTAGGCAGTGAGAGTCAGGTCCGTCCATTTCACCATTAACACCCAACCATTGCGATTTATACTTGAAATCAGAAAGCACGATTTTTCCAAGTTTTTCCTTCTTTTCTTAGGGTTCCCTTGGGTTGGTTGGTTCTTGGGACCCTTTCGTTCTTAAAAAAAATCCTGGTTGTGAACTAAATTAAACCCTGACCCTGCATTGAATGCAAGGGGGAAATAGATGGAAGAGTGCTGAGATGTCAACAAAGATCCATTTCCTACCAAGAGGAAAAACCAAGAGACCAAAGTGGAGGAGAAGGAGCTGTGCAGAGGTTGCTGTAGACAGTGCTGCAAAGAGTTAGCATAAGGAGTGTCCCTATCGCTCTGGCGGCTTTTCTAAGCTAGCCGGTCAGGAGATCCTAGGTCAGGAAGCCTCAGGCCAGTTCAGAAGCCAGTCTCTGGGATGCTGGGGCTAAAAGAGAAGTAGAGCTGGAGGAACCTTTTCTAACAGGAATTTTCCATTTCTCACAATGAGCTAGTCAAACAGCAGTTACTTGCACTTAAGAGAAAGAATGAAAAGTTACATAGCCTGCCTTTTAAATTCTCATTTGCCTAGTTTGCATTTGAACAAATTATTATTTCTGCCTTCATTAGAGTATTTAACACAATGTAATCAACCTGCTGGGAAGTAAAAGTGTAACCGTTTTATGGTTTGTTACATTGAAATTTAAATTTGCATATTAAGTAGTAAAGGCATTAACATGTGTACCTATTCATCAACTATGGATTATGAAATACCTCTCTAGTGTGAGCCTAAACATGAAGCCGTTTTGTGATTAAACTGCTTAATTAAATAAAAGATGATTAACAACATTCATTTATACCCTAGATACTTTAGTAGTTTGAAATTAAAACACAAAGACATTTAGAAACTTTACCAAATCTTCCCCATCACTGTTTTGCAAGCATCTCTCTGAATATGATACATTGACTCTGTGCTGGGAAAAAACTTCACTCTAAAATATCCCTCTTTATAAATAAAGCAAAGCAATCAAGTAAATAGTACCTGAACTCAGATTCAAGGTAATCATTTTAATTCCATTCAAACCTTCATCACTGGTGCTACTGTTCTAAGTCTTATTCTGCAGATTTCTACCATGCCAAATAAAGGAGAACATGCAGCAAGCTTCCCAGTCTAAATGCAAACTGCCTTGATATATCAATGGTGAGCTAACTTAATTTGGTGCTTCTAACCTATACTGCAAATGCAAAATCCTTCTGCACCCAACTGAAGCTTATTTTTTAAAAAAAGAATTTCAGAGCGATGAGTGAGCTTATCTTAATGTCTTCTGTCTCTTACAGTATTGACTACAGGCTTAGATCTCCTTGACTTGAGTGAACCCGTCTCTCAAACCCAAACCAAAGCCAAGAAGTTGGAGGCCTCATCAAAAACCTCATCCCTCAAGAAAAAGGCTGATGGGTCTGACCTCATCAGTGCAGATGCTGAGCAGAGAGGCCAGGCTCTCCGAGGCTCGGAGACAGCATCCTTAGACTTAAGTAAGGCAATAGCTGTGTTCGCTGCCTTGATACAAGGCCATTCTACAGATGACATGAAAACAGTGGGCAAAGCAGTAGAAAAGTTGATGTCTATGTAGGAAACTGGGCAGGACACACTTCTTTGTGCTTAGATTAAATAGCAGTTGGGGAGCTCAACTTTGTAGAACTGGTGTGAATTTATATATTTACTTATACAACCCATGTGTATCAAGTTTTTGACAGATGGCAGACACCATACTAGGCACTGGGGTTACAATGAAAATAACATACAAATCTTGCTCTCCAGGACCATTCAGTCTAGAGAGGAAGAGAGTCTAGAAAGAGAAAACTCTAACCCAAGGTCTAGGAACAGCCACATGGAACAGTAACATGTAACAAGCATGGAAATATTGCAATACAATAATGTTAGCTACCATTTATTGGTGACTTACAACGTCCAGGACTGTGCTACATCATTACATATGTTATCCCATTAAGTCATCACAACTCTTTGAAATGAGTGGGGAACTAGGTTTTCAAATTTAAATAATTTTCCCAAGATCCCAGTTAGTATGAAGAAGAGCTGGAATTTGAGCCAAGATCTAATTAACTTCAAAGTCCATACTTCTCTCCACTGCACATTTTCCTGAGAAAGGAGGTCTTAACCTTGATTCATGGAACCAGTCAATTAAGCTCTTCTTTCTTAAGAGAAAGAAAGGTGGCAAGAATTTCAGAAAGTCAAGGGAAACATGGATGAGTAAATATCCATAAAATGAGCATATTATTAACTTATCCATAAAGTCATGAAGGTTAAAGGAGATATATAAAATCACTTAGCACTGTGTTATATACATATTAGATGCTTATGAATTAATTTATCCATTTGTTCAATAAACATTTTTCTGAATACCTGTTATGTTCCATACTATGTGCTGGGAATACAAAGACAAATAATATAAGCTTTCTGCTCCTTAGTAAATGTACAGTCTAGTGGAGAGATAGAAAAATGATTAAAAGATTACAATAAAGTATGTACTATGTGCTGCAATAAAGAAAAGCCTGGGTTAGTTACTGCATACTAGCACCTTCATAAAGCCCCTCACCCAGCCAGGGGTTTATAGAACATATGTTATAGGAAACACTGTGATAGAAAGAAGTCTTGAAGGATGAGTAAGAATTTGTCAGATGAAAAATATGGATCAGAGAAAGTAAGGAGGAAAGGGCAGGGCATTCCTGATGCAGAAGCACAAATAGACCGAGATGCTTTTTCAAGCAAATACAAATATTGTCACAGTATTCAAGAATGGTAGAGTAGTCAGAAATAAGTCTTAAGAGTCACCAGGGGTTGGATAATGGGAGTTCTTGTTTGACAGGCCCTTAAGTTTTGGGGGAGGGCAGGGTTGAAGGGTAAAGCTCACTTGTATAAGACTTCTCAGTCTTAACCAATCTCTGTTCTCTCTCCACCTCATATTCTCCCCTTGTTCCCATCACCACCTTCCTGTCTCCTTAGCAGACATTCAAACACAACTGGAAAAATGGGATGATGTTAAGTTTCACGGAGATCGAAATAGCAAGGGGCATCCCATGGCAGAGAGAAAATCAAGCTCATCTAGAACTGGATCAAAAGAACTTTTATGGTAAGATATTTTAATATCAGAAAATAACCATTTATGTGTCATGTACACATGTATTGAAATAGCCATTGAGCTAAGTCAGTCCAGATTCTTGGTGCCATTTATAAGCCCCTGTTTATTAATGTTAATTATTGTGACTTCTAAAATTAAATTATTTCATCTGAGTTGTCAAAAATTCAGCCAATAAGGATTTTGGTAGTTTCATAATTCAATACTCAATATTTTTCAATGTTTGTTAATAATTTTCTGAATGTGTAACTGATCTTTCAAAATAGGTACACAGGTATATTTCATATATGTGTATATTCAATGGGGGCTTCCCTGGTGGCTCAGATGATAAAGAATCTGCCTGCCAATGCAGGAGACCCAGGTTTGATCCCTGAGTCAGGAAGATCCTATTTAGTGAGTTACATTAAGTGTTTCTAGTTAAACAGGTAGCCTGTTCTGACTTTATGAATCATCACGGTCAGAAAATGAACTAAAAATAATCTATGGATACCCATGACAAAAACTGGCTGCCTAAATCTTACCATGTCTTTAAAACTTCCTAAAGGGCAGCATATTTCAGTCTGTTGCCCTTCACACATCTCCACTTATATGACATTTCAAATTCTATATAAAGATCCAATCTTACTGATATACTTTGTGAGAAGCTCCCTCCCCTCAAAAAGCCAATACTTTTTTGATGAAGCAGAACTTTCTGCAACAAAAATGGTATTGCATTTATTTGCCTTTTCCACATAACTGAAGTATAAGTCAATCAGAGACAGTAACACCTAGCACATTGCAGCCACTGACATTCCAAAAGTGGTCATTATAATGGAAACATCCAAGTAAAAGTCTGAGGAGAGCTTTGTTACCAAGGTTCTTAGTGATCCAAATTAACCAGGTTTTTTGGCTGACGTTCTAGCTGAATTTGCTTCTCATGTACATTAACTTCCTTCATGTGCCCCATATAGGTCTTCAGAGCATAGATCTCAGCCAGAGCTGAGTGGTGGGAAAAGCGCCTTGAACTCTGAGTCAGCTTCGGAGCTGGAATTAGTGCCTCCAACACAGGTAACAAATCCAATTCCTCAGTGCACCTAGCTTTTCTAATAGATCATTTATGTCATAAATATTTTATTTAAATTTTCACCAAAAACTTTGAAGTTTTTTTTTCAGTATTTTGTTATTTCATTTGCTTTCTTGCTCAGCAGCTATCTCAGTGCTTAAAATAACAGATGATTGATAAGGTAGGTAGGTAGAAAGATAGATAGATAGATAGATTTGGCTGGAAAATGTGTCAGTGAACTTACTACTTAGCACTTTCTCCTTGTTCTGCCATTTACTATTCCATTATTTTTCAATACAAAATCTATTCTACTCCAGCATTAGCATTGTTTATGTAACAAATGCAAAGAAGAGGAAAGTACATCTTGAACATTCATTCACATCTATGCCCTGTGGGACATATTTACACATCAGGATTCTGACCATCACATTAAAATAAATGTGATGCTAAGGAATTACTAAGTGTAGTATAAGCAATCATGATAATACTAAGAACTACCATTTGTGAGTACCTACTAAGTATTAAAGACTCCACTATGTGATTTTCACATATTTGGATTGGCCAAAAAGTTTGCTCTGGTTTTTCCATAACATCTACAGGAAAACCGAAACGAATGTTTTGGCCATCCCTATATTACACCTAATACTCAAATAATCCTATGAATTATTTTTAGCCTTACTTTGTCTCTAAAGAGTCTTGGTAGAGTCAAAAATCCTTTTATTGGGGCACCCAACTAATCCCTTGTATAAGTAAACCAGACAGACCTGTCTGTCCACTATTTGACCCTCGACTTCAGTGTAACTGACTTGCCTATAACTAGTTACCTCCTGTGGTTAAGGCTGTGCCAAGAAAACCCAAGTCAGTCTCAATCTTTTCATTTGCTCAAACACTTTACAAGGGTATACAGCCTTGATCTAAAACCACAAAGATCTCTTAAGAAATGTATCCACATTCACACATCTATAATCTCTGTGGAAATAAGTAGGATGAAATGAGCAAAAGAGATTTTCCTGAGTGTTATTAGATAAGATACTGAAACTAAGAGAGGAGATACTTTGTCTGAAGTGAGTAAAGGGATAACCATGATAATAGCAAATATTACTGAGTGCTATGAGAAGGCCTTCTAATATATATTAATTAGCTCTTTTGATCCTAACAAATGACTCGATGATGTAAGTGTATTTATTACCCCCATTTTATAAGGGGGGAAACTAAAACACACTGAGGCTAAGGAAATTGTCAATGCACTCACAACCAGTCAGTGGCCGAGAGGAGGAGGACACAGATAGAAAGAAAATGCAAGGCATCTGGAAACAGTTGTAAGCCATTAACTTCAACTCTACAAGATAAAGGTGGGCATTACTGCTCCCGGAACTTGGCAGGAAAATGAGTCAGCTAACTTTCAGAACAAATAACCCTGGGAAGCTTAATGAATTATAAAGGTACCATGCTTTTCATCTTTGTTCATTTAAATGTATCTTTAAAAAAAGCAAATTGATAACATTTATTAGAGAAACATTTCTTGATAGTGCATTAGAGATTTAGATTCAGGCGGGCTGCCGTCTATGGGGTCGCACAGAGTCGGACACAACTGAAGCGACTTAGCAGCAGCAGCAGCCAAATAACTGGTGCTGTTTCATAAACTGGAATCCTTGGAACAGTTTAATGTGGCAAGAGAGCACATTTCTGCAGCAGGGGGAGACCTGGCACAGGTGGGCTGTTCCACAGGGAGCTGGAGGCGGGGAGGATCAGCTGGAGTCCTCGGTTGCCATGGAGACCCACAGTGCACTCATCTTATTATTCCAGTGACTGCTGCTCCCCTGCTGGTTGTCTGATTTCATCCCACCGCATTGTCCACTTACCCACTGGTGTGCCTTTAAGCAAACACAATATGCTTTGGAAAATTTGTATGAGATTCCCAACATTGTCCTCCAAAACATAATGTTAATTGCCCTGAGATCGTTCTGTTTGGATAAATCATAGTGAATCCTTTTAGAAGGTTACCAATTATTTGTACAGTGTTTATCCTTTAAATTATTTTTTTAATGCTGCATGTTTACTTAACAAGATTTGCCTAAACTAAGCAAATTTACAACCTCCTGGTTGTAATTCCAGCCTATGGTTAAAGTAGGAAAATTTCATGAATTTGGGATTTAATCATTTAAAATATTAAGTCACTCAAACGGAACAGCAAGAAAACAGACTGACTTATCTACCTGTAATTAAAAAAACCAGAAAGGTGTTTTTACTCTAAGAAGCATACTGCTCTTAAATATATGATCTCTTTACATAAATAAGATGATGAAGCAGTATGAAAATTTGACTTAAAACTGACTTGCAAACTATTCAAGTAAAAAATTTCAGCTCATCAAAATTTTGTTACTGCTCTACTAACACTCAGATGGTTCACAGGAAAATCAAGGAAATGTATTCTCTCTCAAGCCAACATAAATAATCTTAGTTTAACAGGTGAGGAACTATTTAAAAGCCTTGCTTAAAAATCATATTTCAAAATCACAAATCTCTTTGTGATTGCTAACAATGAGAAAAATTCTTATGTTCATTTTCTTTTCAAAATGGGGAAAAAGAAAAATAGACTAGTCTCTTTCAAATAGTGCTTTGAATACACTAATCAGAGTGACAGGAAATTATAATAAATTCTATAATCTCTGTATATTGAAGAATAAACTTTCTTGATATTATGCAAACTGTGTAATTTGTATTCCCTGCAGCTAACCATTTAAAAAAATTATGATATCTGAAAAATTAAAAAATGTTTGAAGAATTGAAGAAATTCTTCAATGATATAAAGTTAGCTTTTTAATGATATTAAATTAGCTTTATCCATGAAGGAGTTGAGATAGTGGTAAGACAAAAAAAAAAAAGAATCCAACTTCCACCAAACAGTGATGGTTCACAAATTTCTTTTTCAAGTATGGACACTGGAAGGACAGCTCCAAGACAGGCTCTTCTTAACCTAAGCTGGACTACACAAGAAGGTGAGGCAGCCAGGCTCTCAAATACTGAGTCATAATCCTGACTCAGTGTTTGAATCAGAGTGAACAGAGTCACTCTGATTCTGCTGATTTTGGCAGAGCAAATGCTTCCTTCCACATTGTCATAATTCCATCAAGTTGGCAGTGTCCCCAACCAGAACAGTTTAAACTTTAAAAGTGCAGATATGTTTTCGAAATGTTTGAAGGCATAGTGAAAAAGGAAAGGCATACTAATAGTAATGTAATATATTCCTAATATACTATTTGAAATGTTTACAATAATCTTGAGAATTAACGTTTTCTCCATTAATGAGCAATGCATCTCAGAAAACAGAAGTAGTTTTCCCAAGGTGACACAGCTAAGATGGAGAGGAGCCAGCACTCAAATCAAACCCATCAGCTTCTAAAGTCCTTGTTCTTCATCACATGTCACCTCTTATCAGCCATATCAGACTTCTCTACCTGAGGGAACTCACAGACCATCGATTTCCCTTCTCCTTGCTAGCCCTGATTATTACTTAGTTAATAGGGTTAATATGAGTTAAGTGGTTTTAAAAAATATCACTTCCTTCCAGAAAATCTGAAGATGAATTAGGATTGCCATCTGATCTGAGGCCATGCACATTTTTGTGCCTCCCCTCCCAAATTCATTCTCGACCTCTTACTCTTAGAAATGCTAATGGTTTCCATGCCATTCCTTTTCAATTTAATGAATGAGACAATGTCTACCATCCCTAAAGCCGTGAGTGAGGCAGTGGAAAAGTTCGAAAGATGAGACAGATTTTAAGAAGTATGAAGAACTTTATACCTAGTAGAAACAATTAGATAATACACTATAAATATAAATATAGTTTTGCTTTTTGGAAGACAGCACAGGAGCCACATCTTCATCCCTCTTACCCTCCTGGCGACACACAGTGAGCTGCCAGTGAGGAAGAAAGCAGGAGAAGATGGAAAGAAGTAACAAAATCAAGATGGCAGAAAGGCAAGGTCAGCAGGAGGGCAACAAGAAGGAAAGCTGAAGGTCATTTTCATAGTAGATAATCCGCACATACTAGGTACTCAACAAATACTTTTTATATAGTGAAAAAATAAGGAATGCTAACAAAAAGGAGAAACAAAACGTTTGTCGTTTTTTAAAACTTGAGAATAGAGGCTAATGGTTAAAGTTGGGAAAAGTGGAAGGATAAATTTTTATTCCTTTAGCATTTGAAGCTAGTTCCAAAAAATAATTTTTAGTTGTGTTTGCTAATAGACTGCTCATCTTCTTTAAAAATTAGTCCTGATTTGCCTTGATAGTCCATAACATAGAATTGCATGGTTGGAGGCAGACAGGAACCATGGGCTACCCACCTTTGCACAAAGCTCTGGGAATCTGCTCTTGACACAAAAGCTACACCTTTTTTCTGTACTTTCAATGATAAATGTCTGCTGACTGATTAAGAAAAAATATCATGGCCATCTTAATGAAGAAAGTATTTAGATGATCTATTCTATCATGAGTCCAGATTAATGAGTCCAGATTAAACAAAAGTGTTCTAAACACAGTTTTTTTAAAAATTGAATTTCCAAAGTCATACCTGATAAGCCCTAAGCAGAAAAATTACAATAACACTTCGCCAGCAAAGGTCTGTATATTCAAAGCTATGGTTTTTCCAATAGTCATGTACAGATGTAAGAGTTGGAACATAAAGAAGGCTGAGTGCCAAAGAATTGATGCTTTCAAACTGTGGTGCTGGAGAAGACTCTTGAGAGTCCCTTGAATAGCAAGAAGATTAAATCAGTCAATCCTAAAGGAAATCAACTCTGAATATTCATTGGAAGGACTGATGCTGATGATCTCAGTTCGTTTCCAAGGCAAACCATTCAATATCACAGTAATTCAAGTCTATGCCCCAACCACTAATGCTGAAGAAGCTGAATGGTTCTATGATGACCTACAAGACCTTCTAGAACTAACACCCAAAAAGATGTCCTTCTCATCATAGGAGACTGGAACACAAAAGTAG